AAAAGTTGGATCCATACCGGTCATGATATCCAGCCCACCTTCAGGTTTGTAGCGTCCTTGAACTCACACCACACACACACACCACACCACGGACTCGACAATCCACGTACACTCCGCTTGGACAACACGCAACCCACCACCGCTACTTAACCCGGTCACACACAGTGGGCCAACTTCCCGCGGGTTCCACAGGCGCCGCACAATGATTATTGAGCAACGTGTGCTTAGGGCATCATGCCCTGCCGTGCATGGACGACCTCGAACCGGCACCCTCTTCCACAGGAATGAAGTACCGTAACCACTACAACCCTTGAAGGTGTTATAAAAGTTGGATCCATACCGGTCGTGATATCCAGCCCACCTCCAGGGTTATAGCGTCCTTGAACTCACACCACACACACAAACCACACCACGAACTCGACAATCCACGCACACTCCGCTCAGACAACACGCAGCCCATGTGTAAGGTACCTTTTTGCTTGTTAGCTTTGACAATGGGCGAGCAATGATAGAAAATTTGGGCACAAACTTTCGATGGTATGATGCGAGGCCAAGAAAGGAACGCAATTCGCGGACATTCGCAGGTTGAGGCCACTTGCGTATGACCTCAAGCTTGGTTGCCTCAAGCTCAAGGCTTGCAACAGACAACTGGTGCCCAAGATAGATGGTGAACGCTTCCTCAAGGCGCCTCATGTGTTCCTCGATCGATTTGCTGAAAATCAGAATGTCGCCCAAATACACAACCACAAATTGACCAATCTTTTTGCGGAGGACCTTGTCCATAAGACTTCGAAAGGTGGCTGACACGTTCGTGAGACCGAAGGGCATTACGGTGAACTCGTAATGCCTGTCGTGTGTCTTGAATGCAGTCTTGTGCTGGTCCGCAGGATCAACTTAAATTTGGTGGTACCCAGACTTGAGATTGATCTTGGAAAAGACCTTGCACCCACCTGCAGCATCAAGCAGATCATCTATGCATGGCAATAGGTACGCATTCTTCCTTGTGATGCGATTTAGACCATGGTAATCGATACACATTCGGAGTTTGCCTCCTTTCTTTGGAACAAACAAAACCGATGCACTGAATTCAGATTCGCTTGGTTTCATCCACCCTTTCTCAATCATCTCGTCAATTTGTTTCCGGAGTTCCTCCAACTCACCGGATCCCATACGGTATACAGCATTTGGGGGAACAATGCCTTCTACTAACTCGATCGTGTGTTTGACTGATCGTGTGGGGACTCCACGCGGTTCAGCCAAAACTTCCGAAAATCGGTTGAGTAAACTTTGGATGTTTGCTGGGATTTTCGGGGGTCAGGGATCAGAAAAAGGATCACCTAAATCGGGTCGCAGGTTAGTAGTGAAGGCAACCGAATCTGAAGTAGAATCATTTGGACTAGAAGTAGGTGGAGAAGTAGAAATACAAGAAGTAGGTACATTAGGGAAAGTAGGATTTAAACTAGCCGCACAAGTAGAAGACACATGAGTAGGATGAACAAAAGCAACATACAATTGTTCTTCCACCTTGTGCTTGCACCACTTCTTGCAGAACTGAATTGCATTGAGATAGGTCACTTGGGATTTGCTCTTCTTGTCTAGTAACACTGCGCGTTCATTTCCCAAAGAATCATGCAGCACAAAGATATCAGCCTTCCACTCAGTCCATTTGCATTGGGACCGTAGCCATCCCAACCCAAGGGCTGCGTCGAAAGGGCACTTGTCAAGTACATAGAAGTTGAGTGCATGTGCGACTGTATTACCTTTGTCAAGAAAGGGGTTTACATGCTTCTATTGTGCTTCATGTTGCTTGCTTAGAGGTAAAACTGTTTCATTGTTGGTTTGTCTGGACTCAAGGGCTTTCATTGTTTGTAATAGGATTGAATACGCTTTGATTTTGGATCTGTTCATTTGCGTGGAATAGGGGCTGTTGTGGTGAAAATTCACACACACACACACACACACACACACACACACACACACACACACACACACACACACACACACACGCACACACACACACACACACACACACACACGTACTCAATCATACTTATGTATCTCATTCTCAATGATTTTTGTATATCTTTTTGCATGTCTTTCTTCCTACTTTTTCTAAGTACTTTCTCGTTGTCTAGGCGAGCACGTTTAAGCAGTGCCAAATAGTCGGTGGTTCCTTGTCTGGAATGCCTACTGCATTGTTAGGGGGCCACTCTGTTCGGTATGTCTGTGGGGGTGATGACAGACATTTTGTCGAAATGGCTTCCTGGCTCAGCAGGTGCCAGGAACCAACAGCCTGCGGGGTTCTGCTTGCGGTGTGAGTAGGTGATGCATTGCTTTGGTCCGCGTTAGATGTGTGGACTGCCTTGTCTGCCCTCCTCTTCTGCCTTGCTACCAACCCTCTTTCCATGCCTTTCCCTGCAGCTTGCCTGTTTGCCATCTAGTTTGGTTGCTGTGTCGGTGTTAAATTGTGCCTTTTTGCATTGCTGAATTTGCTGGCTTGCTGCCCATCCTGCGCGTGCCTAAGCTTCTCGTGCAGCTTGCTTCGTCGGCAAGCAGTTTGGCCGCTTTTGCAGCCTTGCCTGTGTGTCACTGTGTTGTTGCCTTGTGAGCACCTGTCCACTTGCCCTGCAGTTCACTTTGGCATTGTGCAGTTGAGTTGCCCTGTTAGTGTTGCCTGGTGCTTCACTGAGTCGTTGCCTTGCCAAGTTCCGCTTGCGGTGTTGTTTGCGGCTGCCCACTTTTAACAAGTGTTACGATCCTGGCCAATTTCGAAGTACAAATTCACGAGAAAGCACAACGTCGTCCAATTGCAAAAAGAAATGAACGAGCTTGAGAGGAGAGAGTGGGAAAGAAGAAGAAGAAGATGATGATGATGATGATGCACACCAGCAAAGACCAGTGATTATCCCCCTTCTTCTCGCCAACCAAACTCTCCTCTTTTTCTCCTCCCCTCTTATTCAAACAATAAATAATAATAATAACGATGAATGGCAGAACCAGAATCAATGTCCCAATCCCTCTTCTACTGCCAGCACAACTTGAGTTCCACCATAGCCATGGCCGCCCTCCTCCTTCTTCCTCATCTATGTCGAGGCTATGGCGGACTACGAAGGGCCTTGCCCTGACCTGCAAAAGACAACGCAAAGCAGCTATGGCCTCTTCCTCTCAGGCTGCCATGACTGACTCTGCCTCAAACCTTATTGATGTTGCTCTACCCCAACTGGGGCCTTCCAGATGCAGTGCCCACCAAGGTGATGAAGATGGGCGTCCACCATAGCCAGGTAAGCACCCCTGGCACTCCCCTCTCCTCGTCCCTACTTCCTCCTCCTCCTACCAGAGCTCCTCCACCATAGCCAAGGTGGGGAGCTGGGCGTTCCTTCTCCCCATAGCGCTGCAGCGTGTCGCCAAACTTGCAAGCAGCAAATGAGGAGGAGCGCTTCGCTCCTCCCGGATGTATAGCGGCCAACTTGCCTCTTGGGCGGTGACTTCCAGGCCACGCGGGCTCCACGCAATCGGTACCTCCTCCCTTTCGGAGGGAAACATAATTGCAGACTCTGATATCGCCCGTACAGGCCCTAGACTCAGACTACTTGGGCTGGTACCCGCCTAGACCTAGCCTACAACTATTGGGCCTCTAAAAATGCCAACGTTTTGTCTTTGTCTGCTCGGCCTCCAGTCCCCAGCACATCTACCACTACTTGAGTGGTACCGGCCTGCCTGCTACTTGAGTGTTTTTCCCGCTGCTTGAGTGTTTTTCCCCGCTGCTCTAAGTGTCCCGGGCCTCCTCCTGCTACTTGAGTATTTTCCCAGCTGCAGCCCTCAATGTCACGGCCACAGGCAAGTATCGGCCCTATGGGGCCTCCCAAGCAAGCAAGTACCCTTGCGGGTCACACACACACTCAAGCCGTCAAGCACTCAGACAGGCACGCAGACCAGCAAGCATGCACACACACAGACTTAGAAAACTCAGCAGAAAGTGGGAATCTCAGCAAGGCATTCATTCCAGCGGCAAAACTCAGAAATCAGCTGTGTTCTCAGCCCGTGTTCGGGCAGGTCCTTAACACAAGAGTCAAAGGGTTCATGACCCAAAGCATCAATATGGGGATTCTGCAGTTTGTCGAGGGGATTCCACAGACTGTCCAAGGCTCAGTTTCCTGACGAGTCGATCCAAGTTGGACGAAACAATCTATTATCACCAGTTTTTCGGTTTTTTTTTTTGCACTTTGTTTGTCTTCTTGGTACTTGTACCTTTCTTATGAGGTGCTTATTGGTTCAATGCCTTTTCTTTTGCCGCCTTGTAGTGTTTGTCTGCCCACCCGCCTCTCTCGTGCCCTCCAGCCTATATCGCTTGCTGCCGCCTGTCATCTCATGTCTTGTTGCCTCATGCCCTTTCCTTCACAGTCTTTTGTCTGCCTTTTCCTTCGATACCTTGATTTGTTTGTCCGCCCACCGACCTCCCCCGTGCCCTCCAACCTATGTGCCTTGCTGCCGCCTGTTGTCCAATGCCTAGTTGCCTCCCTGCCTTTTGCTTCACTGTCTTTTGCTATACTGTCTTATGGCCATGGATCATGGATTCCTGAGTTAATTCTTTTTCAAGGTTCTCTGCTGGCATTTGCTTATTGGCAGTTTAAATTCCATAAAGATCTTTCTTTCGATTCGTATATCTGGAAGACTCGGTTTGGGATGACCTGTGATGGGTAGTCAATCACGGTACTCCTTTGATGCTGCATACCGTGGGCAGTTGTGCACACACCCACACATACACCCACAACCCCACCCATGCGCCTTCCACCCCCATGCCCACCCCCCCCACCTGACTTCCCCCCATGCACACTCGCAGGCACTCCCGCCACATACACACACACAAGAAAGAAAAACACAGAGAAGATTAGGAATGCCCCCTGGAGTGCCTGCACATTCAAAGACAGTATGGATAAATCAAGAAATGGACCAAAAGCTACAATCGCTTCCAGAGAAAGGACACTGTAAACTAAACTTACCAGTTGTCGCAAACCATACTTCTCAAGGAAGTAGCAGTGCACAAAGACAGTCATTGGTCGATCAGCTGGCTCTGAACAATGAACCTCCCAGTCCTCCTCCTCATCGCATACAGCTTCAGCGATCGCATCTTCGAATTCATCCATCCACCTGTGAGCCGTAAACCGAAACACCCGGGGGTCAAATTAGGTCCCTAAGCACCCCTCCCTACAGTCCCAGGTGAATGTTCCGCACCCCTCCTTGGAGTCCCAAGTGGATGATCGAACCCCTCCCTTCCAGGTGGATGTTCTGGATGCCTCCCTAGAGTCCCAGGTGGATGTTCCGGATCCCTCCCTAGAGTCCCACGTGGGCCTATACCTGGAATGGTTCATCCACCATGGGTCTCCAACGACTCTCCATATTTTAGTACTGGCATTAGACGCAACCATCCAGCTGAATCTTTCGAAATATGTCATCGTGCATTGCAGGTGCAGAAAAAGGTGTTCTTGTTTCCAATAGATCGATGTGTTGCAGACATGAGAGTAAGGGAAAGAACACACACACACACACACACACACACACACACACACACACATACGAAGGGCATGGATCCAAATATTTGTGAGTACATTCTGCATCGTCCAGGTCATTTCAGTGTTGTAACCTTTGCGGATAATTCATGGACTCTATGGGACAATGGCAGTAGGGTGCACATGGAGGGAATTATTCACTCTTTATACCACCAAGTGGTAGATTCTCACTCGGTCTGGCTCATCCATCAGATGTCGCTGTGCACTCGCGAGCCCTGCAGCCTCCGGAAAGCAATCCGGCTGAACCTCCTCCTTCCCCTGTACATGGTCATGCAGCATCCTCTCCCTATGTAGATCGGACGGATTCTACCACGGACAGTGAACAGACCTCTCCAGGGGATGGAGATTGTGCCCTCCTCCCATTGTGTCATCACACAGCTACAGTTCGGTTAGTATGCACACAACATAGCCTCTGCTCCAAACACTATGAAGGGATGGTTGCTGCCAGCCTCTGCCGCGAAAACTGCGACCCTTTGTCTTGTACTCATCCCCCACACCCCCTAATTATTTGCGTAGCATGTCGTCGTGGCCTTGATCTGCCATGCTTAAATAGCTGCGAACGTCAGCCTTCTTTCCTGCTGACATGTCAGCAACATGCCATGTGTCATCGATGTTTCCAGGAAGCTGTCATAGAAAGAATGTGTCTCTACTGCGTGGACTATCCCAATGCCATCATCCACCACATCCTCTCCTAGCATGCCCCACATGCAGTGCTGGGCATACACCCACTGCAACTGCAGACGGATTTCCTTCTTCCTTGCCAGATGAATGACAGACGCAACAGACTGACGAGGAAAATATACAACCATATGAACTGCCTACAGAGCGCTGTACTGAAAGCTTATCACCACCGAGGCGAGCTGTTGCAGACCAAATCCTGCAGCAGCCAAACACCCTTGCTTTGGATCAATCCCCGCCGTTGTCTGCCCGTAGGGAGGGAATAAACATTGGGGAAACCCAAGAAACCTGCTCAATGCGACTCTGTGATGACCCACCTGAGATTCAGCTAGCATGTGGTTCGCATGCCTTGTGCCGTGAGGATTATGAAGAGATAGCCCATGCGAGATTTTACGTATGATGACAGTCAATACTGCACTCATGTACAGCACCTTGACATGTCATGAGTCATAGTTGCGGCGCACGACGGTGAGCCGGTTTGCGCACGAGTTGCGCAGGTAGCGCCGCGCACCGCACAGCGTACAGCAGCGCCCCGAACAGCAAAAAATAGGGATATGGGGGAAAAAAAAAAAAATGGTTTTCATTCGGAAGGCGGGCCCCCATCCCGGCAAAAATGACGGCCGGGGCGCGCGAGTCGGGAAACCGGCCGCGCCCCGCCTCCGAATTTTTTTGGGGGGAAAGGGCCTGCTGAATTCGAAATTTCGAATTCGGCAGGCCCTTCCCCCAAAACAAATTTCGGAGAAGGGGGACGGCAGTTAACCCGGAGTCGTGCGCCCCCTCGCCATTCGAATCTTTACGTCGCGAAGGAGGGAGGGAGATACGGTACGAGGGACAACCAAGAAGTGGGCAACGAAGGCGGGGAGCAGCGAGGGGAGGGCGACGAAGGTGGGAGAAGCGGGAGACAGATGAAGGAGGGAGGGAGGGACATGGCGGGACATCATCGGTGTACGGCAGCCGCTGGACACCATCGGCTCGAAGCAGCGGCGGGAAGCAGCAGTGGGCAGCGGGAGACGGGCCGGCAGCCATGAAGGTGGGCGCCCACCACCTCTCTCTCTCTCT